CTGTTCGAGCCGGCAAAGGGCCCATTTGGTACCCATCACAGCGCACCATAGGCCTTCTTCGTTGGTTCGGACCCTCTTGGAACGACACAAGATTGATAGCAGTGAAAGGGTGCATAATGAGTCAACGTGACAGTTTAAGCGCTCCGATTTTCACAGGAGGCCTCAGTAACAACTGGGAGCCCTCTACACCGCTTCGACCAGTGGCTCGTTGAGTGGAACTGGGCCCCCTGTGCACATTATTGGACCCTCTGCACCCATGTGTGATCTTTTTGCATCAGTGAGAACCACTGCGTCGGTCCAGCTGCAGCTGCCGCGGTAAGAAGACAGCCTGCGTCGCGGAGGGGACCGGTATACAATACATTCCCTGAGGGCCTCGGACTGGATGAAGGGGTCCCGATTCCCACGTCGCGAGATGGCAGCTGGTGAATATCTTGCGCCGGGGTGGAAAGGTTCTTTAGCCACTGACCGGAAAAGGTAACACTTCTCCCCCTGGTGTGCTACCATCTACTAGTGTAGTGCAGTGTGCCATGCATCAGTATATCTACCATGCTAGTGCACTACTCACGTCCTCCTCCGTCCCGCATATCTGAGGTTCTCTTAAGTTTGTAAAATCCATTGACGTCCTCTGGGAGCGCGAACGCCGGCGGAATCGGATTATAAGATGAAGGAAATTTGGTGAATTCTGGTAAACCTTTGAGGATTTTCATCACGAGCCTTCATTGCACGGTTTCCTCCCTTTTCAACTTACCCAGACTCTCCACCATACCACATCATTCTCAAACCCTTTTCCTGTTCTCCTAGACTCTCCCTAAAAACATTCCTTCTTCTTTATAGTTCCACACAGCCCAAAAGTTCGTTGTGCTCTCTAAAATTTCCCGAAAACTCAACATCTGCTTTCATTGTGTAGTTTTCAATGTCACCTCTTTTCAGAAACAACGTAGATACACATCGAATCACAATGCGCCATGCGTCACAGCATTTATTAGTAACTCAATAGTTCACATAGAATGTCGCATAGCTCATGCCTGCAGCAAAATACACTTAAACGACCACACACAAGTTGCATCTATGAGCTGACTGTACACGGTCCACCACATTTTTCTGAACAGAAAACATGCCAACAAACTTGACCTGGCGGAGGAGATCGCTATGCCATGCTTAAGCTCCCAGCATCGCACATGAGACAAAGAGGCGGTTACATAGCACATCTGATGCTCTGCGATGGTTTTTGATGCACAGCATCGGAGCCAGTGCCGTCACAATGACTTGGCCACAGAGCATCAACGCTGGATACCCAGTGGCGTGCTCCAGTTTGAGATCAATTAGTTTTTCAAAGGAGGCGGCATCTGCTACATCTCGTGCCGTTGTGCGTGTGGGCTGCCCGAACCAGGCTTTGGAATTTGCAGATCGTAAGAATTCTAAGATTGGTCAAGAAGTGATATGCCAGTGTTCACGCAGCCCTTAATCGTGATACCACGAAGGTGACGATGACGCACCGAAAACGGTGAAACTACATCGGAGCTGGCGACACGGCGCTGTTCCTGACGACACCGCGCCGGATCTGTAGCCACGACGACAGAGCCGGCCACGACGGAGCCCATGAACGGAGGAGCCCGTGCACATGAAAAGCATTCAAATGCATATGAAATTCAAAGAGTGAAAACTGGGAGCCCTAACAGAACGGCACGCTCGGCAGACAAAGCCATGGTACACTTGAGTTCACTTTTAGTTGAACCTGGAAATTTCTTTCCACTGTCTATACCACAAATCATTTCACACATCCAAATGATTTCTAAACGGATAGCTTAGCCCGTCAGTGACAGACGCTGAAAAAGGTTTTGATAACCCACATTCTTTCTCACTTTGCGATCCCTGAAATCTTGGCTTAAAAAATGTTGCAGCTTGTACCGTCGTGACAAACACAAGATTCTCGACCATGGTCTGTCTTGTCCTCCAGCCAGGCCGTTCACACTACACGAAACTCCCTACCTTAGGTTACCATTAGACGTCACATGAGGCAAAATTCGTGTTGAGATAAGGCGGAAAACAGAAGTAATAAATACCTCAAACACACTCTCCAAATCTATGACCGGAGAAGCGGAACAGTTGCATTAGATGAACTGACCTGACCTGACATGATCTTACCCTGAACTGACATGTTCAGTTACAATGAACTGACATGACTCGTCAAAATTCGGTGCTGAAAAGTATAAACAAAAAATTAACAACTTTAGTTTCTAATTTCATGGTATGATCCTAACGGACAAGCATACGTTCGTTCGTTCGGCATAGTTACACAGGTCTACGGTCAATATTGCTGGTATACTTGCTCTGATATTGGTTTGAAAGTACTGGCTTCAGTCAATCTGAGGTCACTGAAGATTTCAATGACTTCTGAGGCAATCTGGAGTGCCTGTAACATCGTCAGGCATGTCACATACGTTACATCAATACCTGGGTGCAGTTGCACGGGATAACCACCGTTTGAATTATTTAATTAGACAATTTGATTCTTGGATATCATAGACACAGCGTACTGGTGGCCCCGGAACGCTGGGGCCTCCGTATTTCGGACATCAATTTTGAACGAACCACCTGGTATGCCTGCACTTTTTCCTAGTGTGCGTTTCAGACCACGTGACATTAATTCTTAGTTAAAACGCAAATCAATGGAACTTTCCTTTCACTCATCATGCTAGTAACAACGCTGAAAAGTCGATTGTAGGTTAAGGCCACCGTGATGCATGCTATGACGTTAGATACATAACAAGGACGTTCTCCTGGCGCAAAAGCTAGATACCGGAAGCGACGGGACAGGATGGGACAAACGAAACAGCAGAGCACACAGTAGTGCATGACAGATTGCATGGTAGGACAGAAGACATGGGCGGGGGGGGGGGGAGGGAGGCAAAAATCCAAGGATTGAGTACAGAGGGCAGAAAGCGGAGGACAGAGGATAAGACGGCCAGAATAAAAAAAACAGAAAACAAATATACACAAAACGCGCCCGCCCTGGCCAGCGCACACTTTTCAAGACAAAACAGGACAGGACAGGGCAGGACAGACCCGGCCGTGACAGGCTCGGCTTTATGGGAGTTTTCACCTTCGCCCAATGATGAGGTCTCGGGGCCTCCTCGAAAGATGTTGGAAACTAGTAGCCTATGGCCACGGCAGACACGGCACCGGAAAGCTCTAGTCCAGCTGCATTGAATGGGTGTGATTTAACATGGGTGAACGTAATATCGGACAGACCAATCAGGTCATATGCGTCTAATTACAACGCCTAGCTGCCTCCTCTTATGTAAAGAACTAAAATTGCTATGACAATGCAGAGGATGGCGTCATATGGGTTCGGAAAGCTTTACCAGAGGAGTACAAATAGTGAACACCGCCGGGTGCGACTTGTAATGTCGTTTCCGTCACATGACTTTTGCAGAGCACTCAGATGCTGAGGCTATGTGGCGTCACCTGCCTCCCATCCTGGCAGGAAGAGTGAGCACCGCAAAGAATCCAACCCCGTACCTCTGGTCTCCTAGACGCGCAGCCCTGCACTATCGGTACCCATGCGATATGGCATGCCAGATGAAAGCGGGGAAGGCTGTTGTTGCATTGACCCACCCAGCGATATTAGGAAACTTTCATAGCATCAACACTATTAAATGTCACATAGGAACACCTTCAAAAAGCAAATATGTTCACAAAATCATAGTTCGACCTAGCTTGACCTTGGGTGAACAGACACGACGAAAGAAACCAGAACGATATCAATGCACAAGTGATATCGACATGCGATTCAAGGGTCAAAGGTCATCGGGCGTCGAGGATCAAATTTCATGGATTCTTGTTACCTTGGCCCCGTACATGTTTATGGTTCTTGACGCTGCTTGATGCGCAGTTATGTTGTGACCGCGCGCAGTAATGGCGCCGGTGTCCCGGCTGCTGTGTGTTTGCGGCGGTCGGATGTTCGGTATCGTAATTAGTTAGGTTCCAAGGTAAGAATATAGATGACCTGCTTTACGATTAATTATGATACGTTCTGCCTTAAAAACAACGATTGATGTGCAACGCTCTTCTGTAACGTGAGGTAGGAAAGTACACCCTGACCGCTCATGCTGCTCATCCTGAAGTTTGCCGAATCTCAGCCAGAACCGGAGGACAGATATATGCACACACACACACACACACACACACACATATATATATATATATATATATATATATATATATATATATATATATATATATATCACATACATGTGCATATAAATGAGGCAGAGCTTGATATTTGATTTTGCAATCTGCACGAGTCATGCGTCAAGTGCTCCAATGTAAATATGGTCTGAACTTAGTCAAATGAAAAATGGAACAGCTGAGTCAGATTCCACAATCTGTAAGCTAGTCCGGAGGTGGCTCAATACATTCGAGTCAAACCCAAGTCTGATGCTAACCACATCTCGAGACTGGTATCCCATTCCTCGCACTACCCAGATGACAATCTCTTTTCCAGTGCCCTTTAGTCCAGGATATATCATTATCACACTCAGCCGGCAGATGATGCTGTTCTGTAAATTACGCGCGAGAGTTGCTCCAGGCACGCTTTCCAATCACCTCCATCAACTCACTGACCACCAACCGGCCGACCTCGCCGCGCACTAGTAGCGACCCGCATTCAAATGGGAATTGAAATCCTAAATGCTGAAGGTTTTCTACCCCCGCCGAAAGAAAAGAAATTCGCGACGTCCACCACAACACAGCCTCATTTCCTCTGGTCAGCGTTGGGTTATCAGGCCGCTCTGTTTAGTATCCATACGTACTAAACTTCACCACTTTTGGTAAAAATCGGTACTAAACACCGTCTCCACTCTTTGCAAAAATACGCACTAAATACTCTCGAGGTTGAGTTGCTCCAGTGAGAAAAAACCCACCGGACAGATATGGCGCAGGGATGACGTATAGCTCTGTTTATGATAATAAACAAACATGACCGGCCGTGTGCCGTACTGGGTTGGGAAGGTCCGTCGTGGGTGCGTGAATGCGAATTTCATCCATATTTGAGAACGTTTGCATCGAATCTGCAGTCTTCTTGACATATGGACCTGCACATGGCTTTAAGGTGGGTGTAGAAAGGGCCGTTGAAGCCCAGATTCGCGCATCCTCCAAACTGATTCATACGAAGGATACAAGTCAAAGCACCTACCCTTCGGTTCTCTGACCACTTAAGTGAAACAGAGCTGTTCCAAGTTTCTCAAACATACCGAGCAAAATATGCAGTTCCTTAATATTTAGGAACATCTCTGCAACAAGTGACACAATGTTTGCACTACTCTCTGATGTGGACATCTTTCCCAAATATTAGTTGCCCTTGCTCCAACTGGAGAAAATTGTAGGTTTTTATTTCTAAAAAATGCCTGCATTGCTTGCATTTAGGTGTGTGAACTTGAAACAGTTATGGCTCACACCAGTGGCCTGTTGTTATTTTTGATGTTCCCCATTGCCTGTCTGCTGAGAGCATTTTGTTTTGCAGCAATCCTGTATTATTTCCTGTTGAGCCTTAAACCCCTGCCTTATCATTCTGTTATGCTGAAGAAACATCATGTTTGGAGAGTGAGCTAGTCTGAAAATAATGGTGATTACAAAATTTGGTGTCCAGACATTTCATTAGAGCATGAAGAATGGGGCCATGTATTGGTGTCAGGTGGTGCAAAATCATGAAAGGTAAATCATCAGTGAAAATATAATAATTATCAGGACTAATGCCACTATCAACCATATGACAGCTTGCACAACATTTCAGTGTGTTGCTTCTTTGGCAATGTCAGATATGGACTGCTATGACTTGCAATGTGTTGTATGAACTGCTGTGCTATGTAGCCTGCTATCAGCTGACTTTATGGTATCACTGGTCATTGTTTTATATCAATCAGGTGCAATGTTTGTTTTCAGATGCAGGGAAATATCCACAATGGCAGAATGTGTGCAATATGCATATGCACATAGTTGTGCTACAATATTCATATGTACATGTTTAAATGACTGGATGACTGAAGTGATTCAGCTGGTGTACCTTAAATTATTATAATATATCACATAACCTTCTTAAAAATGCAACCATTTGACATGTGGTATGCAATTGACAAATACACTGATAGGTACATGAACTTCATTCTCTATAGCCTATACAAGTAATTCAGAGACTTTGATAAAACCACAATGCTGCAGAAACCACAATAGTTAGTGTGAAAAGACTGACAATTTACTATCAACCATCCAATGTCCTTAAATGTGCTTGTATACTTGAAGGTCCTGAGATGTGCTCTTGGATGTGCTGTCTCTATTAATATGTTCTTAAACCTAGTTGTGGTGATAGGGGGGGGGGGGGGGGTGGCATGCACCATGGTGTTCTGGGTATATATTCCTAGTATGGGATGTAATCATGTCCCAGTTTTTCTACATTGCCTGGGTGATTTATTCCACATATTTTAACACAAAATGGTGTGTCCAATATATCTGGTTTCAGAATAACAATGTTGAGAGTTGAATTTTTATGAGCATTGCACTTCTATGATCAGTGCTGGTGGCTGGTGGCAACCAACGAGTCCACAAATGATGGGTGGCAGAATGACACTGTTAAGAGTTTCAAAACCCTACACCTTTAATCTTTATTCAAAGTACGCAAAAGACATACCAGCTTATACAAGAACAATTCAGGAACACCTTTGTATAGGTTTCATGCTGCTCTGTTGCATTGGTTGGTATATATTAGCATGTATTTTTGTTTTCCGAGATTTGGTCTAAAATTTTTGAGAGGATGGATTTCTGCAACCATGGCTTTGATCAGATGTGTTTGTTGTCTGAGTCCGGACTCCGACCATCCCATCATGAAATTGCAGGTCAGCGACATGATGTGGTGGTGAAAGCTTAATGTGCCGCAATGCTCGGCATGGTCCGTCCTGTCCACTGACGTCATCTGACCTTTGTCATCTGTCCAAGCCACTTGGGTGGTCTCTGCCACCGGCCGCAGGCGTTTCAAGTCAAGGGCAAATGGCGAACGTCTTGAAGCGACTCGAACCCATCCCGCCACGGGTGTGCATCGGAAGGCTGGCGCTCTAACCAACTGAGCCATTTAGGCGGACCAATATTGACATTCGATCTGGCCTCTACCGTGGGATATCTTTGATTCCAATCCACGCTGTTTTGCCACGAAGTTTTGTCATTACTAGTTTGAAGATGGTAAATGCGTCCCACCGAGTCCCCTCTATGTGCTTGCGTTATGAACAACGGCAAATATGGGGGTTCATGTATCCTCAGATAGTGTCATGTCAAGATCGTGTAGATACCCTCCTCCCATGAGGTGAAATTCCAAATGTGACATTCATCATGGTAGTGGTAGATATTTCCCATGACTTCCAACCACCGTTCCAGCGTTTAGGAGTGACAGTACTTGCATACGTGCGTCTATTTGTCCTTCCGCTCCTATGGTCATTGATTTCTATGGCATTATGTGTTATTGTGTCATTGGACAGGCTTGTGAGTTTCGGTATTCCTGTCTCTTACCGTACGGTTGTTGGTGCTTTTGCTATGACGCTGCCCTGTACTTGAAACTGTTGTTCTCACTTTGCATTTCATTCTGCTCTATGCATTCTAGAAATTGACCCCTGCATGAAATGTACATAATACAGTTAGTCAGGCTGCGTTATTTTAGATATAACTCAGATAATTCAAATAATGAGATGATTCAATTAGGTTATGGATCCCAATTCACTGTTTGTGCCTTGAACTACTGATTGTCACAGGTTTAATAGAATGCCACTGCACATGAAAGATTGTACTGCTGAATGACTGGAGGATCATAAGGGTGATTTCTGGGTTCGAAGCACAGTAACAACGAAATGCATCATGCGAGGGCTTTCAAGTGCGAAAAACAAGAGGTCTGGACGTTTTTCCTGATCTCAAGTAACGGGGGTTCGCTGCGTTTTGCGATTGCAATCCAATGTTGAATGGATTCAGATTCAAGACTGAATATTTTTAAAACGATTCGGATATATTTGAACATTCGGTTTGAAGTCTCGCAACTTGATCATCGTGTGGTTGCACGTTTAAAATAATTTCGTCCAGTTCTGGCCGACTGTTCTCAGCGCTGCCGCCATTACAAGTGGTGGCATGTCCAGTAGTACTCCTCGTAAGCCATTGAAATGTAGTGTTGGAGTAAGACCAGTAAACACAACACTTTGGTACAACAACTAACGCTAGGTTATCAATGTAGCATTTGCGACTCAGTCCGATGCAGCACCGACATATGTGTGTTACATCTAAGTTGCATGAAGAACATGCGGACTCTCAGCATGGTTCAATGCGTTTCATTTTACAATCAAAGGATGGCTTTCAAGAATCTGGGGGCTTTTTGGATCCAAATTCTGATTTTTATAATTTAAGTCCTCACATCAGGATTCGAGGATACGCAATACACAAATGCATTGGAGTCTATTTGGATCCCACGAATCTGAATCTCCACCTGTGGTATATACGCGCAAAACACGATATTCAGACAAAGCAATGTCTTGCCATAAGCGTTATGTTCTGAGGTACCGCAATCATTGGACCCACCCATACCCGCAATAGCGCAGGGAGGGGGAACGGGGTGGGATACAGGCAGCACGTGCCCCCTTAGGTTCTGAGGTGCCCTTCAGGCCCCTCATAATTTACAATAAAGAGCCCAAATTTAAGGGGCCCGAAGGGCCCGAAAGGTCAGCCAGAGATCTCATTCAGGGATCCCGGCCCGCACGGTCGGGCACTCCAATGCCAGCCAGAAGGTCCTGCTCGCTGATCAGGGGCCCGCTGAGTCGATACGGGCCTAAGCGATTTACATTGCTCGTGGATCCACAGCGCCTAACAGGGGCCCCGTGCTGTGCAGGGACCCCGAGTCGGCCAAAAGCAGTGTTCGAGAAAGCCCGAAGAGCCTTGAGGGCCCACCGGGTCCGACGATCAAGGACCCGATTGGATGGTCCAAAGGCATAAATAGCTTACTGGAGTCTTATTCAGGATCCCGACCTGCGAAAACGGACTCTCAAATAACGGCCAAAGAGCGCTTTGCACCAATCGGGGACCCCCTGAGCCCATATTGGCCCATATGTCGGCGCCACCGCACCTCATAGTCAGCTCCGTGTCGGTATGGGTCTAAGGACCCACTTCCCAATCAGCTATAAAGCCAGGGTCAGTGATTTACACTTGTCTAGGGTCTTGTATCTGTCCGGGGCCTGCAGCGCCTAACAGAAGGCCTTGTACTCGCAAGGGTCCGGAGCCGACCGAGGAAAGTGTTCAGTGAGGCCCGAAGAGGGGCTCGGGTGGCTCAACGGAACCGACGATCAAAGGCCCGTTTGGAAGGCATAGGGTCCCGAAGGACTGGCTGAGGGTTACAGAAAGAATCGCGACCCGTGGGGCCGTGACCTGAAATATTAGTCAGAGGTGCTCTTGCACCATTTGAGGAACTCCTTAGACAATGCGGGTGTCTAAGTGGGTCAGAGAGCACGAACACCTGACAGTCGGTTCCATGTCGGTCTGAGCCCTTGAGGCGCAAATGAATATGCAAATTAAATATAATACGTCTATAGTGGTGAACAGGGAATCCTATATTTCTCCCGCAGTAGCGGCTACTTCAAATATAAATTCGGAGCTATTGAGAAGGAGTTCGAAAAAACTCGCATTACCGCCTAAATCGGACGCGTTTGATCTAACGAGTGAAAAACACAAAACAGGTATCGTGCCCCCTTTAATGTTTACTTTTCTCGGAACTTCGGAACGGAACTTCGAAACACCGAATAGCTAGCCGCATGTCATAGAACGACACGGCAGGGCCACGAACAGCCTTGCACGGCTTGCACTTTCCGTAAAACTGAACGGCATTGGCCACTAGATAACACTGGGCGGCGGGCGCCGGGCGCGGAGAAGGGCCGTCGTAAAATAATGGTTCCGAAAGTCTTTCAAAATGAATTCGTACCGTTCAGGGATTTGACTAGTACGTCGATGTCACACGCATAGTACTTACACTCAAGTATAATGTTGTCCTTTGAACAGATAAAGTGCCACAGTAACGCAAAATAACTCTGCCTTTGCTCT